TTAGAACAAAAGGAAAGTGTACGGAGTATTTTAGAGGTGTACTTAATCGATCGCAAATGTCGTTTTGTGGATATATCTGTTTATCTCGACGTATTTTGCAGGAATTTTTAGCATGCGTTTTCTCGCTTCTGACGTTATTAAAAAAGAGATGGATGATGCGACTCCTCAGGAGCCTTAAGATGTTATCTAGTCAATAAAATGAGTTATAGCATCTTAAGACTATACATTAGATGATCTTGGATATAAGATCAAACTGTAGTCTGTAGATATTTTCCAATATAACAAAATCTTACCACAATCATTCCTTCTGGGATTTCCAGTTCAGGAGGTGGGACAAATGCTTGATCCTCTTCCTGCGAACCCTCCGACTGTTTCGGACTTTGCGAGTCTTCACACGGAGCTTTGTGACCATTCTCGTCCTCATTATAATTAAATCCCACTTGATGATACGATTCAGAGTCTAGCGCTTGATGCAGCCTCCTCATTTCTTCTTCTGTTATAAACACATATTTGTAATTTACATATGTATGTATATATATATATATATATATATATATATATATATATATATAAATTTTGACTCTACTTATAACTATTGACTAAAATTTCATAACATGTAATTACCATGATAGATGGATTCGTCCTCATCATTGTTGTAAAGAGACCGATACCGCTCCTCGTCACAGAGTTGTTCTATTTTCAGCTCCTCCTCGGTGAGTATGGTCCGTTGATCAAAACCACCTGTCGGTGGCTCGTACACCCGTAGGTCACCCAGTGCGCCCCGTCCATCGTATCTATACACATACAATAAATCTATTAGAGGAAGAAGACGATATTCTTTTAACTGTTGATGTACAGTTGGCCACTGCATCTGGAAATCTAAATCAAGAAGTGAGTCCCATGAAAGCGATCTCTCTGAAATAAAACGGAGCTGTGGAGGACGCTGCGCAATATTTCTACATTCGTTGATGGGTTCAGTTTAATAACACTTTTTTCTTATATAACTGCTCTTTGATATTATATATCATAATATATTCATATATTTGCGACAATAACTTAAGAACATTTCAAACTTATGCAACCGATGACACATCTTGCATACAATTTTCTCTAGTAGTAATTTATATTTTTTTTACATTCTCATATACTTAAAGCACTTTAATGTACATATGCTTGGAATGATTTTGCGTATTGTATGTAAGAAATCTGCATATCGAGGCTTGAATATGACCCAGTATTGTCGAGATATAGATAAGTCTGGACATTTATACACGTATCACTGTATCAACAGATCTGTGTTGCATACTTGCGAACTTGTAAGAATGTCCTAAGTGGCTCCTGGGACAGAGTCTAATATGCTAATACATACCATGCTGAGCGGTCGTAATACCTACAACCGTCAGCTGCCACTTTCTCTACGCCGTGTCTCACCTTGCTGCTGCTCAGACGGTCAGCCATAAGCACCATAAGCATCGTGAGAGCATCTGATTCTGCGACCGTGCAGAGCGCAATATCGCGCTGCCACACGTTCGGCACGTTCGATACAGCCGAGACACCTGCGGAAGCCTTAAACAGTCTCCAGTTTGCTTATCCAAACATTAACGATGAAGAAGGAGGCCCTTGGGTCTACGAATTCTATCTCCTTTCAAACGCAACACTTGACTCATTTCGATAGATTTTTTTGCTTTCGGAATATCATTTTCATCTGAGTTGATCGTTTGCCAAAAACGTAACATATTTACGATGCGTTTTTTTTGTTTCTTATCGCACAAGAACAAATATTCTATATGAGAAATTGGTCTAGGTTATGGAAACGGACCTGTCTATCTTCAACGTGTTATCGCCCATCCATGGTATCAAATGCTTTCCCTGATCAATCATTTTCGCCTTGTCATCATCGCGAAACAATTTGCAGCTATATCCGAAGACCAATAGCTCCTGCGGTTGCTCGTCGTTATTCTTTTTACGTAGAATTCCAGAGTCCACCATCCAACGTTGGGTACTTGACGACGCCATTTTCCGATTGTAGCTGATTGTAGCCGTTTTCATCTTACATCTCTCGCTTCGCGTTGATAACGCAAAACTAAAGCCTATATTACACTAAAGGCTTCGTTACAATTGAGGTTACGGTTAAGGGCCGTGGCACACAGAAAAACTTAAGCAGTAAGGGCTATCGCACACAAATTGACATAACTGCATATGCATAGCATAAGACCGTATGTACCAATGAGCATCGAGTATTAAGTCGCCATATTGGTGTTCGATGCTTAATATTCGATGCTCATTGGTCCATACGATCTTATGCTATGCATATGCAGTTATGTCAATTGTGTGCGATAGCCCTAAGAAGTAAGCAAATTGACCAATAACAGTCGTTGATTTTTGAACCGTAAGAAGAATCAATAACTGTGATTGGTCAATTTGCTTACCGCTTACGTCTTACTGCTTAAGTTTTTCTATGTGCCACCAGCTTAATCACAGCTTCCAATTGCTTAATGGCTCCTGCACACAGGACACGGTAATGCTTGCCACGTGGCGGAAGTTCACGCGACAGCCAATCAATATGCTACTTTCCGTAATAATCTTCTAGCTCTTACGGAAAAACAACATATTGATTGGCTGTCGCGCGGACTTCCGCCGCGCGGCAAGCATTACCGCGTCCTGTGTGCAGGAGCCATAAGGCCAGGGTGCACCGGATAAGAAATCTGAACGCACCTCTATCTGGAACCAGTGATGAAAGGTTTGAGAAAAATAGCAGACCGTGAGCATGCGTGAATGACGTCACAAGCCGTGTGACCGACACCGACAGACTCGTACTTAGGGCAGTGGCACACAGAAAAACTTAAGCAGTAAGACGAAAGAAGTAAGCAAATTGACCAATCACAGTCGTTGATTTTTTAACCGTAAGAAGAATCAATGACTGTGATTGGTCAATTTGCTTACTGCTTACGTCTTACTGCTTAAGTTTTTCTATATGCCACCAGCTTTAGGGCCTCCACACACAACTTGATATAACAGTAACGTAATGGCTCCTGCACACAGGACGCGGTAATGCTTGCCGCGCGGCAAAAGTTCGCGCGACAGCCAATCAATATGCTGCTTTCCGTAATAACCTTCTAGCTCTTACGGAAAAACAACATATTGATTGGCTGCCGCGCGGCAAAAGTTCGCGCGACAGCCAATCAATATGCTGCTTTCCGTAATAACCTTCTAGCTCTTACGGAAAAACAACATATTGATTGGCTGCCGCGCGGCAAAAGTTCGCGCGACAGCCAATCAATATGCTGCTTTCCGTAATAACCTTCTAGCTCTTACGGAAAAACAACATATTGATTGGCTGTCGCGCGGATTTCCGCCGCGCGGCAAGCATTACCGCGTCCTGTGCAGGAGCCATAAAGATCCTCACACATGAAATGATAATAACTGTATGTGCATAGCATAAAACTGTATGAACCAATGAGCATCGAGTATTTAGCCGCCATATTGATGCTTGATGCTCAATACTCGATGCTCATTGGTCCATACAGTCTTATGCTATGCGCATGCAGTTATGTCATTTCATGTGTGAAGGCCTTAAGAATTGACCTATCACGTTGAGAATTGTCTAATCGTAAGATCGTCATTTTGATGAATACTCAATCGTAATTGGTCAATTCTTAAGCTAGCCACACACACTTTTCGTAACAGTAACCGTAAGACGTAACGTAAGATTGACCAATATATTATATATGTAAATTATTATATATGTAAATCATTATATTACCATACATTACCATACATAAAGAAACATTTCAAAGTTTATAAAGATACAATATAATATAAAGTTATAAAAATTTAAAAATATAAAGATCAAATTTAAAATTTAAATAAAATGAGTGAAATTAATTAAATAAAGTAAATTTAAAAAATTTAAATGAAGTAAAATAAAATAAAACAAAATAAAAATAAAAATAAAATTTAAAAATATAACAAGATTTTAAGATATAAAATTTATAAATATTTTAACAGGTGTTACATACTCACAATTTACAAGTCTCCTCTGGAGATACTCGAGGCAATAGACCAAAAGAATCATATTTTAGTTGGAAAAGTACAAAGAAAATCTCAGGTCAAGAGGGACTGAAAGGGTGTAAGGATCTTTACACAATGCCAGGCTACAGGCAATAGAAATAGGCATTAGCTAGTGGGAACAGGGAATAGAAATAATTGACCAATCCGAATTCCTATTCCCTGT